CGCCCACCTGTTGGTCGCACTCGGGGCACGATTTGGTGGCCATCTTCACTTTCTTGGCTCGAGTTGCAGACATGCTCCTCTCCGGGTGCGGAGGCAGTGGCAGCAGCGGCGGCGGCGGCGGCGACGGCGGCGGCGGCGGCGGCGGCGGCAGCGGCAGCAGCTCGGGCTCCTCCCCTAGTATCTCATCGGCCCTGCCTCCGCCAGGCGGGTCCCTGCTGGCCAGACCAAGGGTTGGGCGGGTGCGCGCGCGCGTGCGCGAATTCGCACGGAGCCTGCGTGCCGGGGGAGGGGGGGCGGCGGCGTGCACCAGCAGCGGCCGCAGGCCTCTCGCGTCGACTCCGCGGGCCCCCGAGACGCGCTCCCACACTCACGGCACCGGTCTTCGAGCGTGTCCAGATTCTCACGAGAGGAGACGGTCTCGAAGGTCCAGCGCCACAATGACCACGCCTTCTGCGGAATGCGTGGGGGCGTGGCTTGGGCGTGGCTCAGCAGTAATGGGCGTCGGGATCGGCCAACGAATGCACAGATAAGGCGGGTCGTGGTGCTGGACACCCCCTCCCCCCGGGAGGAAGGAGATCGTGAGTGAAAGTGGTGGAAGAGAAAGCGCGCTTAGCACAAGTCGCGGCATTTAATACACTTCAGTGAATGTTAGCTTCTCTAATTATTGAGGAATTGTAATAGACACCTGCTGAGTCTGCTGTATGTCAAGCCTAGAATCGGCGCTAAGAGATACAAAATTCAACGTTAACTCAAATATGGAAAGCTAATTCTGCCAGCCAGACAAATGTGAATACTAGGAAGTGCCTGCCCTCAAAAAATATGCAGACTACTGTGGTACATGGCCTAATATTAGTATACAGCAGAACTGGGCGGTTGATAGGAAGAGTAAATCAGTTGACTATTTAGAACTTCATACCAAAATTTTAAAGCCACATAGCCATTGACCTAGCCTCATAATCTAGCAATTCATCCCTAATAGTGGAAAAGATATTTTTCACCTGTACTCAAATCCATTTGTGCAAAGATATTGCACTTTGCGTCTCTGCTTGTCAGAGCAAAATCAGAAACAGTCCCGGTGTACGACAACAAATTGCTTGGGCAAATTAAGGCATGCACGCAACAGAATATCGCTGCAGTTCTTTAAAGAATGAGATAGATCGGTATGAAGTGATATAATGGTCTCCAAAATACAGTGTTGGAGCACCTTAAGCATCCAACTTCGGCTTAGGTCATGATCTCAAGGTTCATGAGTTCAAGCCCTGCGTAGGGCTCTGTGCTGACAGCTCAGGGCCTGAAGTCTGCTTCGAATTCTTTGTCTCCATCTGTCTGCCCCTCTCCTGCTCGTGCTTTCTCAAAAATAAATATTAAGAAAAAATTTTAAAACAAGTGTTAATTGGAAAAACAAGGTACAGAACACCTTATAAAAATAATATGAAAATGTATTTATACTTGAATATGTATTGAGAAACTGGAGAAAAGGAAATGGACAGCAGGAATAGGAAGACTTATTTTTCATTCCCTATCATTCATATATCCATTCAATTCATATTATTTGAATTTTCTACTAGATCAACCTAGTATGGCCTTTTCCCCCATAAAGGGAAAAGAATTTATAACAACTACTTAAGAGCTACTTAAGAGGTCACCTGCCCCACTGTTGAGGGAGTTAGAAGTCCTAGAAAGCTTTCTAGAAAAGTCATCTCCACAGCTGAATTCCTAAGGATGTCAAGTGGAGGTCTCAGGCAGATGGGGCAGAGAAAGTAAGCAATTTGGTGTGGGAACACCAAGTGTAGGGCAAAGTGCTGGGGAGGTGTGCTATATCCAGTTATGCAGGGTCTTCGCTACCATGGGAAGAAGTTCAGGATTCATCCTGAGGACAATGGGGCAATAACGGTTTTAAGTTGGAGTAACACGATTCGATTCGAATTTGAGAATGATTCGTCCAGCAAAATTTAAGTTATCAGACCTGAGACAGGAGAAAAGAAAGGTCACTAAAGGAGAGGAGAGGGACTAAAAAATATGAAGGCCATAATGTTAGCAAAACTTGAGAAGCCATTTTGCTGTGGCAGAGAGTTATCAGGGGTATTTCCAGGATAGCTCTGAAGTATCTATTGCAAAGGACTGGAGGACTAGAAGGAGCCATGGAAGATAGTGCTGCAGTTTTCCAAGAATGGGGTGGGACACGAATCAGAAACCTAGGCCCTGCAATCCAAACCCTTAGGAGTTTTTTGAAAGTTTCATTTCCTTTTTCTGGAAATTTCCTCAAATGCTCACTTGGCTGGGGTAGGTGTTAATGAAGAGGTCTTTTAATGTCTTTAACTCTATGGGGTTTCCAAAATGGTTAAAGTGGCAGACACTGACAGTTGGCTGACACAAACTCCATCTAGGTCCCTGCTTCTCTCTAGATGCCTTCTAGCGAAAGTGGTCATGTGGAGTTATCTGGTCAATAAGATATAAACCAGTCTGCTGAGTGGAGTTATCTGGCCAAAAAGATATAAACCAAAGTCTGCTGAGTGGGATTTGCTGGAAAGGTTCTGAGTTCCTGATAAAAATGAACAGATTCGGGGCGCCTGGGTGGCTCGGTCGGCTGAGCGTCCAACTTTGGCTCAGGTCATGATCTCACCACTTGTGGGTTCCAGCCCCGCGTCAGGCTCTGTGCTGACGGCTCGGAGCTTGGAGCCTGCTTCTGATTCTGTCTCCCTCTCTCTGCCCCTCTCCTGCTTCTGCTCTGTCTTTTTCTTGCAAAAATAAAGGTTAAAAATTTTTTTTAAATGAACAGATTCATGTTAAAAAAAACTCTTTGTCCTTTGCCCTTCATACTTTTTCTTACTGTCTGGGGCATGAACAAGAGACCCTGAAGGTACAAAAAGCCATCTTAGGATGAGACAATGAGGTGTCATATTAGTTACCTATTGTTACATAACAAAGTACCCCAAAACTTGGTGGCTCAGAACAACAAACATTACCTCGGTTTCTCTGGGTTAGGAATCCAGGTGTGGTTCTGCAATCCCATCTGAATGCTCAACCAAAAGGAGATCTATTTCTACGCTCACTCTTTTGATTGTTGGCAGACTGTCCCCTATCACATCATCTCTTCACAACATGGCAATTGTGAGCTGCATCACAATATAGCAATTTGGCTTTCCCTAGAATGAGTAATCCCAAAAAGTATGAGAGAATGCTCATGACAGAAGCCACACTCTTTTTATAACTTAATCTCAGAAATGGCATCTCATTGCTTCTGCTGTATTCTAGTCACTAAGCTAGTCACAAAACCCAGCCCACACTCAATGGGCTGACTACCTCAGAAGCCATGCATAGAACTATAATCAAAGTCCACTAAGGATGAACAAAGTGCGTGGGTCCCTGATAGCACTGTTAAGTGCCTACTCCAGTCATAGCCTGCCTCCCTATTTTCCTTATAATGTGAAAGGGGGAAAGTAGCTCAAAATAAGATACAGCTCCACACCCACCAGAATAGATAAAAAGAGTGACATCAAATGTTAGTGAGAATGGGGGGTATAAAATAGTGTAATCACTTTGGGAAAAGGTCTAGGAAAACTAGATATATACATATGCCTATGACCCAGTATTTCCAATCTTAGATATTTATCCAAAAGATACAAAAGATACGTCCACAAAAAGACTTGTGCAAGAATATTCATAACAGCTTTATTCAAAATAGGCTCAAACTGTGAAAAAAAAAACCCACAAATGTCCATCAAACAGGTAAATAGATAAATTGTTATATTTGTTTCATGGAATACTAATCAGCTTTTCAAAGGAATGAAACATTGATACACACAAAATGGGTTAATTTCAAAAACATTATGCTTAGTAAACGAAGTCTTACACAAAAGAGCACATCCTGTACAATTCTATTTATGTGTAATTCTAGAACAGGCAAAACTATTCCATGGTAGAAAAAAAATCAGAGCAGTTGTTTTGCCTCTTGGGGTCTTGTAAGAGTGGGGATAAAATGAAAAGGGGTATGAGAGAACTTTCTGGGCTGATAGTAATAGTCTGTATCTTCGACAGGGATTTGTATTACATAAGTGTTTGCATTTGTCAAAACATACTGAATAGTACAATTAAGATTTGGGCATTTTATCAAATTTAAATTTATGAGAACAAGAACTTTAAACAAATATTGAATTCTAGGTAATGATATGTATGCTAAAGTATTAAGGGTGAAATGTGCTAATGCCTGCAACTTTACATTGAAAGGCATAAAAAAAAAAGGATAGCTACGTGGGTAGGTTAAGTGATAAAGTATAATCATAAAGTAAAGTAATGTCAATTTAGGTGGCTGACATACAGGTGTTCATTGTAAAATTCAGGTATTTTGTTTTTATGTTTGAAAATGTTCATAAGTTACAGGAAACAAAACCTACGTATTTAAGCCACTGTTCATTAGGTTTTCAATTATGTCTTATCCACATATTCCTTACTTACACTGATACCAAAACAAGGATTTTCCATAAAGTGAATGACACTGGCCCTAATACTTATTCATTTAATAAACATTTACTAGGTACCTACCATGTGCTGGACCTTGTGCTCTTGATGGGGGTATAATCTTATGAGGAAAAAAAGTCCCTGCTGTTGTGAATCTTATAATCCAACAGAGAAGATGACAAACATATACTATCACACCAATAAACATGTAACTACTGTGATCACAGTTACGAAGGAACCATACTGGGGCTCTAAGTCCATTGACAAGGGGACCTGACCTGTAGTGGGGTGGGGTAATCAGGTAAGACATCCTGGGAGAAATGTGCATGACAGGTAGAGTTAATAAGGTGAAGAACAGTAGCAGCACGGACAAATTAGCTGAGATAAAAGGAAGTGAAAGGAGGTTCTGTGGCCAAAGCACCAACAGAAAGAAGAGAGAGTCCAACCTACTGGCAGGTCCTGAAAGAGTCTACTTTCCACTGGCTTTTGATCCTATCTCTAACTTTACCCAAGACCTTTTATGCATGCTATTAAAGTAACTGTAGGTGCTCTAGTCTCACAATAAACAATCAGACCAGGCAGGAGCTTCTTTAATAACGGTGACTACGTACTTAA